GCAGCTCATGAGCGACACCGGAGAGACAACGTCGCATTTGATGGGCATGTTCTACCGCACTCTGCGCATGGTCGACAATGGCATCAAGCCTCTGTACGTTTTTGATGGAGCTCCCCCGAAGCTCAAGTCCGGCGAACTAGCCAAGCGATTCGCTCGGAAGAGCGAAGCCACCGAGGCTCACGAGGAGGCCAAGGAAACCGGTACGGCAGAGGATGTTGAGAAATTCTCGCGACGTACAGTACGAGTCACCAGAGAGCACAATGCAGAATGTAAGAAGCTTTTGAAGTTGATGGGCATTCCGTACATCGATGCCCCCACGGAAGCCGAGGCGCAGTGCGCGGTTCTCGCGCGCGCTGGAAAAGTCTATGCAGCTGCTTCGGAGGATATGGACACACTATGCTTTGAGACGCCAATTCTCTTGCGCCACCTTACGTTCAGTGAACAGAGGAAGGAACCCATTCAGGAGATCCATTTGAACCGTGCGCTGGAGGGGCTTGGTATGGACCGCAAGCAGGTATGTCCTTGAATTTATTTCTTTAATCATATCTCGAGGATGCTTATTTATGTGATATAGTTCATTGATCTTTGTATCTTGCTGGGTTGCGATTACCTTGAGCCGATCCCCAAGGTCGGACCCAACACGGCGCTGAAGCTAATCCGTGACCACGGAAGCCTGGAGAAGGTGCTTGAGTTTATGGAGAGCGACCCGAAGAAGAAGTTTGTCGTTCCTGAGGATTGGCCCTACGAGGATGCGAGAGAGCTCTTTTTGAACCCCGACGTGCGGGACGCCAATGACCCCGAATGCGATTTCAAATGGGAAGCGCCCGACGTGCCCGGTCTAGTAGACTTCCTGGTCAAAGACAAGGGGTTCAACGAAGACCGCGTCAAGAACGGCGCTGCTCGCTTGCAAAAGAACTTGAAGTCTGCTCAACAGTCCCGCTTAGAGGGATTCTTCAAGCCGGTCGCCCGCACGGATGAAGAGAAGGCGAGCCTGAAGCGCAAACACGACGAGAAAATCCAAGAGCAGAAAAAGAAGAAGAAGGAAGATGCCAAAGCCAAGAAAGAGGCCAAGTCACGGCCCCGCGGTGCTGGTTAAATACCAGGCATAATTTTTTGTCCCAATTGGTTGTTGGATAACGACCAGAAAAAAGCAGCGACACATTGACCGACACCACACGTCGGCCTATAAAATGTTCACTGAGTTCTTCCAGAACTCATGGTGTCTAGAGGCGTTCCCGGGTTTATTCATTCACAACATGCAGCAATCAATCATGTGTAACTAGTTACTTCAGGCGAGAGGCGTTCCAACCGGCGGGATAAATGGATGGATGATGAATATGCACGAGTTCAGCATGCCACGTATATACCTACGACGTGGAAGATTCTTTTTTGCTGTCTAGAAACGAAAGGACTAGAAAAGCAATAACCAACACACACTATAGATAGATAAGGCAGCTAATAACTCCGCAGCAAACTGAAACTTTGTTGCCTGACATGTTTACACTTGTTCTAGGCTTGGAGGAATGGCGTTCAACCCGACTGGAAGTCGTACATGATTCAAATCAAGGTTTTGTTGTACTATGTAAATCGGGAGGAACCTGGGACTCGGTGAGACGCATCGCATTGCGTGCGCCCCTTTTTCTTCTGCTCCATTTTTAATAGAGTTCTGTAGGATTGTATCCCAGCTTCATGTAGTATTAGAAGTATATTGTGCGCTACTATTAGTATTTAGCCTTTTTATTTTTTATGGTGTGTAACGGTCGTACGATTGATTGCTCTTGGGGAGTGGGTGGTGTGGGGTCACGCGACTGTCCGCTCTACTACTACTGCTTAGTACTCCGTACCCTACCCTACTATGCAGGTTCAACGCGCGTTAATGGGAGCATTGGTTCTGCCCGTTTACCTGTGTAGATGGGATTATCAGTATGGGGTATAATGTGTTTTGTGAATAGCTTTCTCTGATGGGTTCTATTAAATAATATTATTGGGTGATTTTATCCTTTTGGTGGCGTAGTGATAGTAGTACTAAGTATTCTAGCCTCTCGGATGAGGGGAAACTACTACTAGTAGGAAATATATAATGTGATGTGTGATTGACATCGACTAACAGGATTCACAACGCTACGTACTGACCAATAAAATGAGAATCCACATATTCACAGATCCCAGACCATCGCTAATAGCAAGAAAAATAACGCATAGCAATAAAGTAAGCAAGTGGGCGAAAGCCGTTGTGGACGGGAGTGAAGTAGATCACGGATGCTGAAGCCGAAGGGGACCCTGATACTCTCTCGCCAAGCATTCCTCAAGCTTAACCAGTTATCCATTCGCTGTCATATTCAATTTCAGTACCTGAATTATTCTAGACACCAGAGATTAAGCTACCATGTGGAATAGACCCATATATACCGTGGTTTGGGACGAGGATCAAGAAAGAAAGTTGTCCTCTTATCTGGGCTCGTGATCCGGCGTCGGCGCATGGCATCAAACGATCAACCGGCCCGCCGCTGATATCAACCATCACTTCTAGATATCAAGTCTACGCAACAACCCCGGACGAACAACCTATTCCAAAGAGAGATACCTCCGCGAAAGCCAATGAAATAAATCATAGCAGGTGGTACAAGGACTACCAAGAGAAAACATATATCTACTTCCAATCCATCGAACCGCGAGCAACCGCCAAGCCGATGTAACCACGGGATCAAAGTCAATGGAGCTCTGGATCACAGAGCAAAGAATGGTCGATCATAGGCCCGGATTTCCCCAGGACCTTTCACTTTCACTCACAAGCTCACTGGATACGCTAGTTCTCAAAGCTGGGTCTACCACCCCCCAATTTCCCCCAAAAGTCAAATCCATAACATCATCTTGTTACCTCGTGACCCCAGAGCCTCTCCGCACGAGGGAAATCAGAACAAAGTGAAACATGAACGCCTCTTGTCCACCCTACCCCCCCAGCCGTTCCATTCATAGTTTTGCGCCCCAGACGTAAAAGACCAATGAATGTGATTGATGCAAGGGGAAAGAGAGGCGTCAAATCGGTTCTATTTTTCTTATGATCATCGCGTGTAAGTTGGGAGTTGATCCGGGAGCTTGATCGGACTGCAGCAGAAGTAATCGGGCGGACACGGATGGATGTGATCTGGAGTCCTCGGGGTTTTTGGGGTTAGAATCAGGGGTTGACTACGTATTTTAGGATTATTTGTAGATGTAGTGAATAATAAGTCTGTGGCAAATTCGAGCATGCTCTTTATTTAATTAGAAATATGAATTGTTGGGTGTGGTGTGAATGCGACTGGAGATGGTGTGGTGGTTGCGAAAAGCATCAATCACAACGGGGACGCCTGATGTTGGGATCAGAATGATTGCGGGTTTCACAAACAACTTTAATAGATAAAAATAATCTAAGGTGGTAAGGTCATAGTAGCGCCACTGGAGAAGTGCTTGGAGCAACTTTTAGCTTTAGAATACTCAGAGGAAAGGGGGGAAATGGAGGAGAAGCGAGCACGCGTAGGAATCATTGCTGGATCATGCGCGTCAAGAAATAGTAGTAGGAAGCAGCAACTCGGCCCAGAAGGAATGCATAGACAATCTACAAGAAGACCTACACGAACATTGATATGATAAAACCAAATTAATTTAAGCCACTACACAACCGAGGCAAATACACAGATAAATCTCACACGCAAAATGAGACGAGGAGAGAAAAAATTTAAAAAAAGGAATGAGGGAAAAAAAAAAGAGGAGAAGGGCGACCTGACGTGTTGTGCTCGATTGTCGAGTTGATCCTGTGTCAACACCCGCTGCCCTATAAAGCGCGGATGCCCCGCGGCCTTCCACCCCTTCCGTCGTCGACTGCTTTTCTTCTTCTTTGCTTCCATCCCACCAAACAACCTTGCTTCTGCAAATCATCTGGTTCATCTCCCTTGTCCATCACTCCTCATCATCTACCTTTTATTTCATCTCAAATAACCCACACCCATCCCACCTTCATCATGCCTCCCAAGAAGACTTCCACCACCGGTACCACCACCACCAAGAAGTCCGGCTCGAGCCACGCTTCCTACCGTGGTATGTTTTGACTGATCTTTCACCACCACCCCATCGCGTAGCATTGAAATTAATATCATTTTTGTCGCGAATGACTGCTGATTCCATGAATATAGATATGATCAAGGATGCTATCCTGAATGTGAGTTAATCACGCTGTTCCCGGTGCGCGTTGGGATGACGGGCGCTGGGCGGGATCTCCGACCGTGACACGTCTACACGGTGCTTAATTGTCCCAACGCCCCATCGGGCTCCTGCTTGTTTCTCCTCCCAAATGGGTCGCTGACTTCTTTCGCAACAGCTGAAAGAGCGCAATGGTAGCAGGTAAGTTGTTTCGTGTTTCTTCTCCCCCGCCCGATGCAGGGTCCCGTTCGCTGGCGACGTGGCAACCTACCACCCTGTCCAGGTCGCGATCTCGGCTGACTCGTCTTGTTTCTCCTCGACTGTAGCCGCCAGTCGATCAAGAAATATGTTCAGGCGAACAACAAGATTGCTTCTGCCTCCACCAACGCCTTTGACAGCCAGTTCAACAAGGCCATCAAGGCTGGTGTTGAGAAGGGCGAGTTCCTTCAGCCCAAGGGTAAGTTAATCCATCGCGCGCATTATTCCCTTTTTAGGTCGCAACGGCATTCGATGCTCTTGACACGGAAGGCCGTGTCTTGACTGTCGCCGTTCGCGTCTTTCATCTTTCCGTCTTGATTTTTGATGGGGAGTGTCAACTGACGCGTCGTCAACCAGGCCCGTCCGGACCCGTGAAGCTTGCCAAGAAGGAAGCTGCCCCCAAGCCTGCTGCTAAGGTAAGGCTCTATCAACAACATCTGGAACTGTTTGAGAGTTATTACTAACGCCGTCTATAGAAGACTGCCACCAAGGCTGCTACTGCTAAGAAGCCTGCTGCCAAGAAGACCGAGAAGACTGAGAAGGCCGAGAAGCCCAAGACCACCAAGAAGGCCACCACCACCACTGCTAAGAAGCCTGTTGGCCGGCCCAAGGCTAACACGGCCAAGCCTCGCAAGGCCTCCACTACTGTAAGTTGTAGACCCATGCCTTCTCACCCCGGACGGACAGGGTATACTAATCTTGAAGCAGGCTCCTGCCGTTGTCGACAAGCCCAAGGTCCTCAAAACCACCAAGAGTGGCCGGGTGACTAAGACGACGGCTAAGCCTGCAGAGAAGGCCACCAAGAAGACCACTAAGAAGGCTGCAAAGGAGACTGCTGCTTAAATCTGTGGGCGCCTGAGACCGTGTTGTCAGAGACCACTTGAACCCGGCTCCTCCTAGTCGGTGATGTGTGCCTCGGATGATCTTTCTCGAGCTATATTCCCTTTGTCTCTTCTGCTGTAATTTTTTTTATTTCTTTATTTTTTTGTTCCTTGGCCACCTTTTGATCAATGGGGGAACTGTTTCTGGGATATGCCGTGGATTGTTTACACTTTCGTTTTCAGTGTCGGTAGGGTTGGCGTCTTGCGATGGATCTTGCACCGGGATATGTTGTGCTAAACTCTTATGTTTCTTTTTGGGACACTTGTCTAAGGACAGGTGTGACGTTATGCAATGAAACTGCTTGTCCATTTCTTCAATTGAGTTGAGATGCAGTGTAGCGAATTCGTAGTCTCCTGGTAGAGACATCCTGAAGTATACCCTGCCAGTGGCGTAGTATTCGTCAACAACTATATCAAGTCGAAGGAACGATCCCCAATGATGCGCAAGAAGATTCGCAACTAGCGCAAATCAAAGAACTAAATATGTACGCTAGTATATAGATATCTATAGTCTATATAGTATACATGGTAGCTCGAAAACAGTCATATTTAAGCTTAATGTATGCATCCGTGGGTGTGCTTAGTATGTGCTAGAAAGAAAGAAGTGGACCGACCGGTGGGTGGACTGGGAACTCGGATGAGGTCACTCCCAATCTAAGTAACTGAAGTAAATACTAGATAGGAATTACTACTTACTATTCGATACCGAAGCGTGGACGGAAGCCGGAAGCTCATTCGACTAGAAAGCCAGTAGATTACTTCCTTCCATACTTACTTTTTAGCACCCGACCGGGTCCTCCCTCCCCCCTCCCCTCCGGCCCAAAAATAGCAAATTGCGCCCACTCAGGTCAACTTTCCAGGTCCATTTTTTTTGCCCCCCTCTGCTGGTTGTGGTTTCTTTCCTTTCCGTGGGATCCGCTGAGTCAGGGATAATTGATTGATTAATTAAGTAATTGTGTTCATAAAAATGATAAGTTAAGTTATTACTCCGTAGTATTACTTCATTTAGGAAGTACTGTTGGTTAACTCCGAGGAGAGAGGTGGGTGTTTTTTTGTGCCTGGGGCTTTGCTTTGCAATATTACGGGGGGTATGTTTGGTGGCCCGGTATTGGGAATACAGAAATTGTCCATGGTGTTGAAATGAAACGAATTGAATTGAATTGAATCGATTCGATTCGGGACGACGTCAAGTGTAGTAAGTATCTTTTCTGCTGCAACATACAGAATGTTCATCCCTGGCTAGGGCTGGGGATGGGTTGTGATTCTCCCGCCTATCGTCAGGTAATATGCGCAATGATTGGATTGATTCGCTTTGCAGGTGACCTGATACATCGTGGGTGGTGGGAAACTCCCTACCTTGTGAGTAGTACCTATTGCGTCAGGGCAAGGAGGAAGTTGGTTTTTGAGGGGGGATGGGGATGATGATGTGACGTTGGCATTACTGGTGATCATCAGTGCAAAATCCACTGGAAAGGCGGGATGGGCTGCTACTATCTAGTATGTTACTGTTAAGGAGATAATATACCACTCAATTTGATTCTGTTGTTGTATCGAATGTCAGTTCTCGAGTTTGAGGAATCGAGTCGAGACACCGGATCGTTGGTTTAGTTAGTAGTCGTTGGTTATCATAGCCCCAGCCACCGTTTTCCCGGAGGAATTCTGACGTTGGCAGCCATAATGCAAGCCAGATGTATCTACTGCGTACATGGCTTGAGAGATGGAAGATCTGTAGCTATCATTTGTCATTTTTTATTGACGAGGGTCATTCCTGCATTGGGCGGGCACGTAATCAGTAAACCAGGGGGTGCGGGCTGGGCTGGGCTGCCTTCCACAGTGTGTGCGTGTGTGTGTGGAGGGAGTAAGTGAGTGTGCTTCATCTGTCCATCCCTACTTTTCAATCGAAGGCAATTATAATCGACGGGGGCGCGGAAAGGCCAGGTGTTGTTGGATATGAAAAGTGTCCCACCAATCTACTCCATACGCTGGAGATCATTGCGACAGCTCTTGCCCCCCCCCAAGATTCAATCAGGGGCCGGCTAGCCAGTCACTTCTCTGAAAGTAGAAGTAGTAGTAGCTCGAACACGATTTTCCAATCTAACATGTCATGGACGGGTGGAGACACGACCCGACAGATGTTCCTTATGCATCCTGGCTGTACGTGCTCGATTAATCTCTCCGGTGGTCGTTGTGTTGGATGGTTATCTCTTGTCTTGCATGCAGCCAGCGTGTGGTAAGGAGGTTTCGGTGGTACCTTACTGTGCCTCGTTCCCCTTTTATTTTATCTGGCATTATCTGTTTGAGTAGTTTATGTATATGACTAGTAGAGACGGAAAAAGTGTCCTTTGTTGTTCAATTGACCAGAACAGCTAGAGAGAGAATCCTTTCAGGGCTTAGTTAAGGGTTCAGTAGGTTGATCGGCTCAGGGCGTGAGGATGGTTAGTTAAATAAATTGATGGATGACCTTTTAGATGTCTGCCTGCGACGGGGTCATCATGCCAAGCCTCCTGATACCACCATACTTACATACGGTATGGAAATACTAGGATGGATGGATGTATGAGTGGTTCGGTCTGTCACGGGGAGGAGAGAGGGGGGAACCCATTGGAGAGATAAGATACCTTGTTTTTTAATTCTGTTGCATATTTGCATGGGGATGGGGTTTGAAGATTGTTGAATGATCTCTCTGACTGCCCAGATTGAGAATCTAACTTCTTTCTTTCTGATGGAGGGTGTGATTCTTACCTAGATATACTACTTGCCATTCATCGGTACACGGATCAGTACCCAACCAACAACCCGAGTAAAGCTGAAGAGTGGAGCTGGTGCTACTCTTTCCTTATTATCGGACCAGACTCACTTACTCACTCCCTCCAAACCGGGTCCTTTCCCCTTCTTTTGCACTTTGGGTCCAACTTTGTTTTTCAGCAACTTCTGGGAAGGAGTTAATAATCATCGTAATAATAACAACCACACATATACAGTAATTTCTCAGATCATATTATTATTAGGCTGGAAAAAAAGTGAGACAGGAAGGGGGGTTTTGTTGTGTTGATGTCAAAAGGAAAAGGATTGACAAATCTTCCCTAGACTTCTTCTTTTTCTTTCTCTCTCTCCTTTGCACTGTCCATTCTTCTTCTCTCTCTCACACACACTCTTTTTACGTAGTTGTGCCTGTCTCTCTCTCCTCCCCTTTCGCGTGGTATTACCATTACCAGTTACCACCAGTTCTAGCCAAGGCACAGTACAAGCCGTAAACTCTCCACGTTCGTTCGTTTTTTTTAGCTTGCGAAATACGGGTACCGTCTCGGACCTTGGCATCTTCTGGAGTCTCTCTCGGGTTGTCTCTCTTTCGCTCTCGCTCTCCCGTTTCGCTCTCTCTCTCTCACTCGCTCTCTCGCTCTCTTGCGTCTTCGCTCCAACTTCATTCTCTTATCCTGCTGCTCTCCCCCCCCATCATTTCGCCATCCTCCTCCCCTCCTCTTCTGTCCATTCCACCAGAACTCGCCTTTCGTCTTTCCCTATCGCTGCCAACCTCATCCTTTCCTTTTCCTGCTTGTCGCTAGTTACTGCAACTGATACCCCGACCGTACAACTCTTCGTTTCTCTCACCTGTTTTAATTTCGATTGTACACCTTTTCCACCCCCCCCGTCACCTTCATCGGACCGATTCTACCAGCCTCCACGCCAAACCTCAAACCGCGGACACGTCGATTGTGTCGTACCATCTGCCTCGTCTAGTGTTCGCCTGAATATGCCTATCAGTCGTTAAACTTTCTGCCGCCCGCTGGCTTCCCCAGCTTAATCCGGGAACTTTGACTGTTCTTGCATTGCAACCGCTGCCATTGATCGATTAATCTCCTCCCCCCCTTCCTCTCGCGCTCTTACCCCCTCCCTTCTACCCGTTGCGTCGCCGATAGGGTCTTTCGACTTTCCAACGACCCGGGACCTCAGTACTCCTACCTGCCCCTAAATCCTGAGGCTAATACCGTCCTTCCCTCATCGCTACTTCCTCCACCCCCGCTCTTCCCACCTCTCTGTCTCCGCTGGACTTCTGAGCCAACCCAAGCGACCATGCCCTCCTTTTCTAACGACGTCGCGTACCAATCGTCCACTGCAACGGCTACTCACCCGCGTCCATTCGACTCACCGCAGGGGAAAACGTCGGAGAAAACGTCCGTCGGAAATACGTTCTTATGGACAAATTGGCCCAATGGCGACACGAACCATCTGGATGCCCCTCCAAATGACCGCCAACTCACCAACGGCAGTGCCTACTCCCTGAATGGTCCGCGCTCTAGTGCCAGCTCATATACGAGGGAATTGCCGCATTCGAAAGACGGCAGCATGCACTCCTTGGGAAATGGTTCGGCCCGGGAACCCAGAGAAGGCGGGAGGCCCTCGACAACATTAGATCGCGATGTCTCGAGGAAGTCTGTCGAAAGAAGCGTTCGTGCAGCCTCTCCGACGGCATCGGTCACCAGTCAGCAGATCAATGGGACGTTGAACCCCCGATCGCTCAACGGCAAGCCGACGGTGAATGGAGACTACCCTCGACCGTCCGCTGATGATCTGGTTGCTCCCGATGTAGTGGCTAATGCTTCGGCGACGCGATTGTCCACCTCTCAGCCTGATGACGCTGGCCGTCTCTCGCCGGATCCCGATCGATTGTCGCCCTCCTCGCCCTCTCAGAAGAGTCCCCATCGGTACTCTTCTCCTCCTGTACCATCTGGCATGGACGGTAATGCGCAAGATCCGAACAACACCGGCCTTCGACATCGACACACGTTGCAAGTCCCACGAAACAGCAGCGGGCGCCGGAGTAGCCGGGACCAAACTGAGGATGCTGCCTACAGCAGCGGTCGGTTGTCTCCCACGGCCGGAATACGCCGTACTTCTTTCAGCTTGGCCCGGCGCGCCACCCGCACCAACCAGTCCGATATGCTTTCCGACGATGCCCCTCCGGACGAAGATGCGGCTCGATGGGCGGAAGCAATCAAACAGAGGCGAGCTTCTAAGAGAAGACGTCGGGATGATGACGATGACGACCACGTTATCGTTGGCACCAGGGTCGACCAGAATCATGTGAATTACGTTACTGCTTACAACATGCTCACCGGAATTCGGTTCACGGTGTCAAGGATCAATGCGAAGATGGATCGGGAGCTGACTCCGGCCGACTTTGAGGCAAAGCACAAGTTCTCTTTTGATATGTATGCGCCTAGGTTATTGCTCACTATATTTGCCATTACGTTACTGATCGTTGATGTTGGACAGAACCGGAAACGAATTGACCCCTTCCGCCAAATACGATTTCAAATTCAAGGATTATGCGCCCTGGGTTTT